GCCCTTTTCTTTGCACCAAGCAATACTCTCCATGGAGATTGCTAATATCAATTGTAGTTTTCCCTCCAACAACGTCAGCTTTGATTGTTGTGCTGACAAAAGATTGCACATCATTGACGGACTGTGAATGGTATATTTCGACAAATGCTTTTTCTTCGTCGCTTACATTCACTCCAACAGTCATCATGTTTTTGTTAATAATCGGTTCGTTAATTGTAATACTCTCCCCAAGTTGAAACGCTTCTGCTGTTGCGTTGTTTGCGTTATTGTCAAGAGACGGGAAATACCTGACATCAAAAAATCCATCGCATAAACCAGTGAATTTCACACTCCCTTGTGGTGTGGAGATATAGATATATTTTAAATACTTTGAGTTGTCCATTTGTAACATGTCATACAAACCAATCCATCCCGTTTTTTTCAATGTATCTTGGACATCATACACCACCTCAACCTCATTTGTTCCTTTAAATACATGTAACGTTACTCCCGGAACATAATACGCTTTTGATGACATTGTGGTAATTACCGGCTTTTCTTTGGTCTGACTTTCCATTGAAATTAGAGTTCAAAATAATGATTTTACTTTAGAAAACGTCATTGTTTTTTCAAATCTTCTTTTTACTATGATTTTTTATTTTTTTTTCAAAAAAAGTTAAACTTCCAAAAGCTATAAATCCTATCTAAAAAAATTAAAACTGTAAGATATCTACAACAAAGCCAACACGAAATAAAAACACAAAACAAAAAACTTTTTAGGTTGGCATACCTTAAAAAGCTTTGGGGTATGCCAACCCTTCGGACTTTATTCATCATTTTATTAAACGAGTTTTCAAAAGAGGTACAAGGTGTAATTCAGGATGAATCTTTCCAAACAGAATCGTTTTGTAAATGATTATATAAAAATTAGAGTTGGAGGAAAAAAGTCCGGCTCGATAAAGAAAGAAAATAATTATTATTATAAAAAACTACTTTATTTTAGTTTTAGAGTTTTTTACATACAATTTTTTGTATGTAAAAAAAATTGTTTTTTTGTTGAAAAAATAAATGTTTTTTCAACTTTAACACTTAAATGGCTTAAAGAAATTTTTTTGAAGGCAAGGAAAAAAAGACATAGACGCCAATTTAAAAAAAGTACTTAAAACAACCCATGTCCCTTTTGGGACATAATCTTACTCAAAAAAAGTATAAATGTTAACTCGATTATATAAGATTTTGCATTATTTTTTCAAAAATACACTTTTCTCTCAAATTCTTTGATAACGATTATACTATACTCATTTCTATTATTTATTACTATGTATCACTTGTGTCGGTTTTCATTCAAACCTACGTGTATACATAGTGACATTATCATACTCAAACATACTTATTTGATTCTCAAGTTAATTAATGTTCTAACTTTATTTTTTCAGTTGCCAAATGAAAATCATTTAGAAAAAATTCAGAATAAAAATATATTTTTAAAAGTCACTTATTTTAGAAACTATTATTTTTTCTTGGGGTTTTTGCATTTTGGGCACAAGAAAAGTGAGTGTTTAGTGCACACTGGAAGACCACAAGATTCACATATTCTTTTTGTTCGAGCCTTTTCAACTTTCTTGCAAAAAGCACAAAATCTCTTTTTGGCAACTGTTAGTGATTTTTTTTCTTTGGAATTTGTTATAATTTTGTTTTTCCCAACAACGTCTTCCCACCATTTTTGAAGTCCACACTCAACAAACAGCTGTCTTTTTTCTTCTCCTTTTTTCATCCCTCGATCAAGCCTTCTTTTAACGTAATTCTCACACATTTGTTCAGACAATTTAATTAAAAAATCAAAATGAGACATTTTTGTTTTTTCAAACATGGCATAGGCATTAGTGCAGCAACAATCCAGGATATTTTGAACAATTGCCAAATTGTATCTTCTCGTTTTCATTTTGCACGAATACTCTTGGCAAAGTTGATCAAAAGTATCAACTGGAGTTTTTGTATAATTGTAAGCCACATTTATTGAATATTTTCCACTTCGACTGTCAATCAATGGAATTTGAATTTTATTGGTAACAATAATGACAGTTTTGCTTTTGTTTGGGTTAAAAGCAGTCAAAAGAATGTTCCCTTTTGAATAAAAGCGTGTATTTTTGGGATTTTTTTCTTTTTCTTCTTCTAATTTCATTTTTTCTTCTTTAATTTCAATCTTTTCTAAATTTAAGAATTTTTGGGAAGATAGAATTTTTTCAGCTTTTTCTTTGTATTTTTCCCTTTTTGTTCGGTTTTTTGGCTCAGCTGGACCAATTTCCCCAAGTTTAAAAAAAATTTTGTCCCATTCCTCCTCAATTTTCGCAATCGATTTTTTGTTTTTCTTTTCCATTTTTTGTACTTTCCTTTCTTTTTCTAAATATGTGTTTTTTTCGCTTCAGAAGGAATATTTTTGCTTCTTTGGTTCATGGTACCTATGTACCCGATTTTTCGGACTTTTAACTCCTGCATTACCGTGACACTTGTAAAATAATTGTCACTCTGAAGTAAAAATTCTTTTTTTGGGAGGTTTTGTACTAATTTTAGAACAATTGATTCTCCATGACTCATCCCGTTTTTTTCCTCGAGTTTTCCCTCATATAATGTCATTCCGATGTACATTTTTTTGTCATAAAGACACAAACAGTAAAATTTTAAGCCGTGTTTTGTGGGTTTGGCTGGGCAGTACTGAATACCATGACAACGGCCTTTAAAACCAAACATTCGCTCATCTATACATATCAGGGATCCGGGGTCGCATATTGCCGTGATATTTCGGGAAAAAATATCAAAAATTTCTTTTGCTGCTGAAAAATTGGTTTTTTCCCTTTTTTGATCTCTTTCATTTTTTTTGTCGCACCGGAAACATCGAAACAATTCTTTGAATCTATCTCGCTTCATGCCTATTCTTAAAAATATAATCCCGAATTTGTGGCTCCAAAGGCGATCAACGTTTCCCCTTCTTTGGTTTGCCCCAATATAAATCAAAATGCCAAGAAAACATTCAATTTCTTCGAAATCAGTTGGGATCCATTTCCCGTTAATTAGTTCTTCTGCCTTTTCATTTGTACCTTCAACAATTAATTCAATCATTTCATTTGAAAACATTTTTCTAAAACATTCCAAAGGAGATTTGAAATCTTCAGAAAAAACGGTTTTCGAAAAATTTTCTTTTTCACAAAACTTTTGAAAATCAAAAATCCCAAGTTTTGGTTCGATTTTTGACCATCCATCCAAATAATCATCTTTTTCTTCAAAAAAACATTCTTCTTCTTCATTTTCTATTTTTTGATCATATTCTTCAACATTATTTTCACAAAAAAATGGATCATTACTTTCGTCATCACTTGATATTAAACAATCATCTTGTTGGTATTCACACTCCATGAATTGAAAAAAAAGAACAAAAAGGCAAAAAAATAATAATGGTAAAATTTTGTTTATGTATGTCCATTAAGGAAAGGTTCAGCCAATTAAGTGTTAAATTGATTTCATTGACTATTTTTCCAAAAAATTACGGACTTTTTTACCTCCAACTCTTTTTATAAACAAGTTTTATTTTAAATGCCTACAATGACGGGAAATTAATAAATACAAATAAAAAATTTAACAAGAAAAATAATTATTTTAAATAGATTTTAAAGTTTTTAAAGCAACAAACAAAATAAAAAAATCGTCAAGTTTAAATGCCATATTAATGACGCACATCAACTGAAATTAAAAATGTATTCAAGTGGTATCTGTAAATTTTTACGTTGTGTACATGTTAATATCAATATTTAATTAAAAGTTTATTTGTATTTTCAAATAAACAAATTGAACAAACTTAAAAACATACATTAAAATTACAAGTCAATGAAAGTCATTTATGACATTTTATATTTGCTTAGACCGTGTAATGATCTTTAATTGTTTTTTAACATTGTCGTTTTAAAACGCGTGATTTACTAAAACAATTTTTTTGTTTCTGATTTTTTAAAAAGCTGTTCGACTTGAATAACGTTTTCTAATAATGATAATTTATTTACAAAACAATATTCAAAAGGTCTTTGAAGTTGTTTTTTTAATTAAATTTAACAAAAATATTAATTATTTGAATAATTTTTTAAATAAAGTCGACCAGAAAATACTCGTACACTTCCAAAAATAGAATTTATTTTTTTAAAAAATAATTTTACTCAAAGAAATTTCATTTTTCACTTTGCTTTTATAAACTGATTCTTTTTTGATCTTTTTTCTTCCAAATGATGCTTTAAATCATTCTTGATGTATTTTTTTGTTCTTTTTTACGAAATAAAATTCTTTGAAAATTTATATGTTGTTAAGATTATTATTTTTTATAAATTGTTTTTTTTGTTATTCTTTAATTATTGTTATTGGCAAGTATAGTTCGGTATAGTTTGAATAGTTTACAACAATGTCTAATATTTTTCGAAATGTATTTTTTAAACAAAGTTCATAAAAATAGAACACCGTTGATACCACCATATCTACTCAACTCAACTTTCATATCTTAAATGAACAACGGTGACTCATCAAGAAACAAGTTTTTAGCATTGCTAATGTGGCACTTAATTATTTTAATTACATAATCTAAATTTTGAAGAGTGAACTTGTTATTTTTTTCAAAGTTCGTTTTTTGATGTTTTTATCGAAAGTAAATAATATGAAAATATTTCAATATCAACACATTCAAAAAACTGTCCTGAACATTGTTTGTTCAAGGACTAAACTATAACGATAGACGTGCAAAGCTGATATGAACTGTATTTTTTATCATTTATGTTTTTTGTAAAATATTAAGAAAAAACAAGCACTTATCAGTGACAATAAAAACATATTTTAAAGCATAAAACCCGAAATTGTACTGTAGCTGAAGTATAATTTTTATATCATTATTCAAGTCGTCATAAAACAAAACTTGATAAACCACAAAAAATTTAAACAACTTATAACAAAGTTAAAACCATTTCTTTATGATTATCAAATGAACATTTTCACTGTTCAAATAATCTTGCTTTTACAAAATCATGACTTTAGAACCGATGGTTAAATACGAACCATAAACACATAACAAATTATTTGATGAAATATTATAATAAGAACTGGGTTGCTTTTAAAATTGACCAACTTTTATTGTTTTTGATAACATCAATTAAATTATAAACATGACATTAACTCAATAAATGAGAACATCAGGTGCATTTTATAAGTGTTTTCTTGGCTTTTAACACTGAAAAATACACGAGAAGATATCGAAAAAAATGTCTGATCCGACCAAAAATATCAACAATATAGTAAATGAATATAGTTTTTCTAATTATTAATAACTATATTATACATAAATATAAAACATGTGATTTTTTTTTGTGAAAACAACAATAGTAATATTTATTAAACAATTATAGTATATAATTAATGTCTTTTTGTAAAAATTTAACATTTAAAAGCATAGTTTGATTGTTATATTAAAGCTATTTATCATTACATTCAACATAACCCCATAATTATAAA